CAGCGATGTTTTGACAATTGTGAATCTATGTAAGCAATGGTTCAACAGAGCAGTATAACTACTAAGAGGTGATAATAGTTTCCAATTGGGATGCAATCATACGGCCATCTTGAAGTCATGATGAACACACAATACATTTGTTCTACTCAAAATTACAATACAACTTCGAACTACAGTGGCGTTCTGTCCAATTGTGTACTAGTTACTACTAGTAATTATGTGTGTTGGCTGTACAATGGACAGTTGCCACTCACCGAGTCTCGAAACCCGAAAAAAAGGGTTGCAAGGTCAGCCTTGCAGTGATGTCCCGTTTCTCCAAATTTGAGCCGTTTCAAGCGAAAATACATAATCGGTTTCAACGTAACGGTCACATGGCCGCCATACTGGTTGGCACCATTGACCATCCGTTGTTGTACTGTACTCCACGCCCCCATCCCTTTTACAACAGCACATGGGCAAATTAAGATCGTCGATTGCTCCGACAACGTCTCCAGATACCGGAGCGTTTCCAACTCGATTGGTCCGGTCCACAGGTCCCAGTGCTCCGTCATGTGACAAATGCAAAGTCGTCGCAGTCCAACGACCATTTGTGGATCCGACTGACAAAGCCACGACCGTCCACATTTGGGCCATGGGCATTGTGGCGGTGATTGGCGGACAGTTTTACGGCTGGAACGAGTCCTTCAGCGTGGGGTTTGCGCCGTTTTTCTTGGCATTCGTGATGATGGGGGCGGCGTACATCATTTACGTGGCGTGCGTTTCCGAAGTCGGGGGAAAAGTTCCCGGTGGCTCGTACGGGTTGGCCCGCGCAGTGCTGGGGTTTTACCCTGGATTTCTCCTCAGCAGCCTCGAACTTCTCGAGTACACTTCATTTGCGTCCGTGTCGGTGTTGTACGTGACCGAGTTTGCGACCACGTTTTTCAACTGGAACGAGGACTACCAACCGATCTTGTGGCTGCTGTTCTACGCAGTGTTCATCTTCATCTTGGAATCGCGGGGCAAGTACGTGTGGTGGTTTATGCTCGTGTTCGTTGTGCTGTGCCTCGCGCCCACCGTTTTGTTTGTGTGTGGGTCGCTCTCGTATGTCAACTTTCAAGCCAACGCCATCCTTGTGGACGACGCGACCAACGAAACAACGTGGGCCACAGGCGATATTTCGTCGGCGTTCTTTGGCATTTTACCGTCAACGACGGTGGGGTTTGCAGGCGTCGAAAGCCTCACGGTGGTCACTGGGTTTGTCAAAGATCCAGCAGTAGCCGTGCCCAAGGGGACCGTGGCGGCCGTGTGGACGCTGTTCGTGTCCAACATAGCACTCATTCTCGTTCTGGCATCCCTTCCCCCAGGCCTCGCGACGACTTCCACGGACGAGTACTTTCTCGATCGTGGATTGAGTCTAGGACTTGGCATGTCCTCTGGACTGTCAGAGTGGCTCATGATGCCGGCGCAAATGGGCATGGCGTTTGGCTTTTTCATTCCGTACGCTCGACTGACTCAAGCGATGGCCGATTCCAACTTGTTGCCATCATGCCTGCGACTCAAAGGTCAGCCCAACACGGGACGGGCGATGATCGTTGCGTCTGGGTTTGGGTACCTCATCTGCCTCGTGTCGTTCTACAGCCCCAAGTTCAAACAAACGCTGCAAAACATCTCGATTCTGGCGGGGACAATTTGCTACGCCGGCCAGACCCTTGGCTTTGTGATGCTTCGAACCACGTATAAAATTGATACCGCGGGGTACACGAGCCCGTATGGCCTCGTGGGGGCGTATTATGTCTGGGTCGTGTTCTTGTGCCTGTTTGTGTCCATTGCGGGGGGGTTCCAAGGAGACAGCTGCATCGCGGTAGCGTCCACGTTTGGCTTTGTCGTAGTGCTTACGCTGTACTACGTGCTGGGGTGTCAAAAGTCGCAAACAGTGTCTAAGGAAGAGTACACGTCTATTTTCAAGTTCAGCGTGATGAAATTCAACAAAAGTCGGTCCAAGAAGCAAAAAAAGAGATCGTCGGCAGCCACGAGCCATCTGTCGCGGGCGTCGATAGCCACAGCTGCCAGGCTGGTCCTTCCCAAGAAACCTACTAAAGTTGGGCCGGCTATATTACACTGTAGGTAGCCCCTTTTGTTTATTCTGAAGAACGTGTCTGAGGTTCTGTCGAGGATCACTCGTTGCAAAGGAGGCATAGTCATTAGGGTGATAGTTGCGACATGGGGGGGGTATTTATCTTGACAGCGATGTTTTGACAATTGTGAATCTATGTAAGCAATGGTTCAACAGAGCAGTATAACTACTAAGAGGTGATAATAGTTTCCAATTGGGATGCAATCATACGGCCATCTTGAAGTCATGATGAACACACAATACATTTGTTCTACTCAAAATTACAATACAACTTCGAACTACAGTGGCGTTCTGTCCAATTGTGTACTAGTTACTACTAGTAATTATGTGTGTTGGCTGTACAATGGACAGTTGCCACTCACCGAGTCTCGAAACCCGAAAAAAAGGGTTGCAAGGTCAGCCTTGCAGTGATGTCCCGTTTCTCCAAATTTGAGCCGTTTCAAGCGAAAATACATAATCGGTTTCAACGTAACGGTCACATGGCCGCCATACTGGTTGGCACCATTGACCATCCGTTGTTGTACTGTACTCCACGCCCCCATCCCTTTTACAACAGCACATGGGCAAATTAAGATCGTCGATTGCTCCGACAACGTCTCCAGATACCGGAGCGTTTCCAACTCGATTGGTCCGGTCCACAGGTCCCAGTGCTCCGTCATGTGACAAATGCAAAGTCGTCGCAGTCCAACGACCATTTGTGGATCCGACTGACAAAGCCACGACCGTCCACATTTGGGCCATGGGCATTGTGGCGGTGATTGGCGGACAGTTTTACGGCTGGAACGAGTCCTTCAGCGTGGGGTTTGCGCCGTTTTTCTTGGCATTCGTGATGATGGGGGCGGCGTACATCATTTACGTGGCGTGCGTTTCCGAAGTCGGGGGAAAAGTTCCCGGTGGCTCGTACGGGTTGGCCCGCGCAGTGCTGGGGTTTTACCCTGGATTTCTCCTCAGCAGCCTCGAACTTCTCGAGTACACTTCATTTGCGTCCGTGTCGGTGTTGTACGTGACCGAGTTTGCGACCACGTTTTTCAACTGGAACGAGGACTACCAACCGATCTTGTGGCTGCTGTTCTACGCAGTGTTCATCTTCATCTTGGAATCGCGGGGCAAGTACGTGTGGTGGTTTATGCTCGTGTTCGTTGTGCTGTGCCTCGCGCCCACCGTTTTGTTTGTGTGTGGGTCGCTCTCGTATGTCAACTTTCAAGCCAACGCCATCCTTGTGGACGACGCGACCAACGAAACAACGTGGGCCACAGGCGATATTTCGTCGGCGTTCTTTGGCATTTTACCGTCAACGACGGTGGGGTTTGCAGGCGTCGAAAGCCTCACGGTGGTCACTGGGTTTGTCAAAGATCCAGCAGTAGCCGTGCCCAAGGGGACCGTGGCGGCCGTGTGGACGCTGTTCGTGTCCAACATAGCACTCATTCTCGTTCTGGCATCCCTTCCCCCAGGCCTCGCGACGACTTCCACGGACGAGTACTTTCTCGATCGTGGATTGAGTCTAGGACTTGGCATGTCCTCTGGACTGTCAGAGTGGCTCATGATGCCGGCGCAAATGGGCATGGCGTTTGGCTTTTTCATTCCGTACGCTCGACTGACTCAAGCGATGGCCGATTCCAACTTGTTGCCATCATGCCTGCGACTCAAAGGTCAGCCCAACACGGGACGGGCGATGATCGTTGCGTCTGGGTTTGGGTACCTCATCTGCCTCGTGTCGTTCTACAGCCCCAAGTTCAAACAAACGCTGCAAAACATCTCGATTCTGGCGGGGACAATTTGCTACGCCGGCCAGACCCTTGGCTTTGTGATGCTTCGAACCACGTATAAAATTGATACCGCGGGGTACACGAGCCCGTATGGCCTCGTGGGGGCGTATTATGTCTGGGTCGTGTTCTTGTGCCTGTTTGTGTCCATTGCGGGGGGGTTCCA